GAGTTTCCAAAACTTACACCAATTTACACTTCCTCCTGGAGTGAAAGAGAATCCAATACTCAGAATCCACATCAAAAGTGGGTGTTTTTAATCTTTCTAATCTTTGTTAATCCAAGAAGTAAAACACTTTATTGTTTTTTTTATTGAATTGTTGAACTGAATTGAACTTGTATTGGCACAAAATAAGAGATCATGGCAAATTTTATTTTACATTAGGAAGTGTAAATTTTTAGGTCAGATAGTTTAGAGGTAGTCATATGCAAAGAGGGTTTTCTTGTAGTTCTCCAAGGACTTTAACTGTTGTTGTATAGCAATCAATGTCACCTCCATCTTCACGGACTAGAAAATAGAGGTTACACAGAAACAGAATACAAGTTTTGGATTTTGTTTTGGTTCTTTTCATTGGCCCGCTGGCCACAGATGTTTAGATCTTCATAGTGGTCCTCATGGACATCTTCATATGCTAAAGATGCTTCTAACATTGGAATCCCAAGAAAATGGAGCAGGGATTAACAAATATTGGTTAAGGAATAGGTTTTATATCAAGAACATAAACGAAACACTGAGAAAGAAGAGAGCTGAGAAAAAAAGTAAATATGAGTTAAAGCTAAGCAATAAATCAAATTTATTTCAACATGAAAGGTTAATTATAAACTTTAAGTTAAGCAACAACTTCATGGTTTATTCTGTTGTGAAATGATGTCCTTGCTATTTATGAGATTTGGCTAGCATAGCAGTTTTTTAATAAATGACAAAATTTTAATACTGGAAATGTTCAAATTTCCAATTTTTCTTGAATCCTCAGAAGGGCTGATAACATGAGACCTCTCATTCCCACAAGGAAACTGTAGACAGACACTGAAAAGTAATCTGCTTCCTTTACAAAGGGGAAAATTTCATAGTCTCCAGCTCACCTTCTTTATTCGTTTATATTGCCTGCCTACCTTTTGCTCAAGAAAGTAAATCAATCTTGAATTTCCTTATAAATTTATATTACTAGGGGAAAGAAATGAAATCTTATTATGGACTCTGATTAACATATCAATTATACTTGAAAGGGACAGGAAATAAGTTTATTATTCTCTTTAGACATTTTATTTCAGAAAATGATTTTTTTTCTTTAATATTGTTCTGTTAAGTTCTTTCTGACTACCCTCCCGAACAGATGACCTAATGCTAAAACACTGTGAGTTAACTCACCATTTGGGGGTTACATAGATTTCCACTGAATTTTCCATGGTCCCAATGGAAGCACTTACAGGACTTGATGCCAGTGTGACCTGCTTTTTAGCTGAGAAACCTAGTCCTTTCATTTATCATCCCCATGATACTGGTCCACTTTTCTGTAAGAAAAGTGTATAATCCTCCTGAAGTCACTCTCAGTATTTTGTGGGCCATTTCAGCATCCTCCGAGATGGGTTATGCTTTTCTATTCCAACTGTAAATGATTCGCTTCAGAATTGACTTGGCTATGAAAAAATTCTCAAAATATGTGTTTCAGATAAGTAAGTGAATTTACATACTTACTTATATGTCTAGGCACTGGGCTGGCTCAGCCATTCTATAAAAAAATTCTCCACTTTTGAGTCTTATTTATTGTCAAACATTAGAAAGAGAGAATGAACGGCATTTAGCTGGTTTGCCATGAAGGGAACAGAATCCATTATGGTAATGAACAGAGACACGAACAGTCAAGTCTTAGCATGGTACTTCCCAGCTCTCTAAAATTAGCTGATTAAGCTGGGTCATCCACCACTTTCTTGATGGTCTCATAGCACACTGACTCCTCCCTGATAGAAGCTCTTTTCTACTCCGTGACTTACTACAGCTGCTTGTTTACTATTTGTCAGAGGTCTGTATCCTCATCATTTTTATAGACATGCCAGTGACTAGCTCCTTGGTCTGCCCAAAGGAAGCGCTCAGTAAATGTCAGTCCATTGACTGACTCAGACAGTGCCTGACTGAATACTCTTCATACTCCTATTGTGGGCAGGTATATCTCTTTCGTCCATCACGTCAATCACAATGTCCCATTAGCACCAGTGACTTTATGTCATATCCATCCTTTTCTCTTCATCCCTCCTTCCAAGATCCAGTATCAGGGACAGGTTATCTCTTACTTGGACTCTTGCGGTATCATCCTATTGTCTTCCCTGCCTGTCTTTCTAACACTACGTTCTAAGCATACCAATCCTCTTTTAACTCTTTAGTGCTCTCCCCTCCTTACAAAATGAAAACTCTTGGGATAATACAAAAGGCCCGTCAGGAACGCTCTAACCCCTGCCCAGCTGTCTAACTTCATTTCCTATTACACCTAGGATCCTATTATAAATTCCAGTTATCACTGAATAATATGTTCAGAAGCCCTGGATTTTGGAAGCACTTGGAGTGCTGGGCAAAATCCCTCTTGGTGGAGACATAGTACTCACTAAGAGAATTTGGAATCCACAGTTCTGATTAAACCACTTGCCACCTACCTCGTGAGCACCAAACGCTAAAAAATGGTTAGAGACAAAATCCAGAAGAAGTTTTCTCTGGGCTAAATGGATAGTTAGAAATGACTTTGAAGTGGATGTTAAGGCCCTGTATTTACGTAAGCAGGGACTAAGGACAACAAAGTAAATTTTAGTGCTGAAATCAGTGTTTAATCTAAAGGCTAATGATGACAAGAGGCTTGGTTTCTAACTGTTAAAATTAAAATTGAAATTTAGTATCTCCATGATGTGATACCACACCTAATAGAATGAATAAGATGGAAAAGACAAATAATATGAAGTGCTGGCAAGAATAAGACACAAGAACTCTCACGCAGTGCTGATGGCAGTGTAAATTTGTACAACCAATCTTGGGAGATGTCTACTAAAGCTGAATATATGCAAATCCTCTGACTCAACAATCCTACTTCTAGGCATAAGTCCAACAAAAATAAGTACCATGTTCACCAAAAGACACGTATAAGGATGTTCACAGCATCACTATTTGTAATTGGAAAAAAACTGGAAATGACCAAAATGCCCATCAATGATCATGTGGATGATTAAATTTTGAAATGTTCACACATGGGACACGATACAACGAGAATGAACAACCCACAACCACAATAATCTGAATGGAGCTCACGACCTTAATATTGAGCAAAGAAGACACAAAAGATACATACTGTATGATTTTATTCAGATAAAGATCGAAAATAGGCAAAATGAATCAATGCTGTCAGAAGTGAGGATAGCGTTATCCTGGAGGAATTGGGCAGTAGTGTCCAAAAGGGGCAAGAGGTGGGCTTTTGGGATTATGGTCATGCCCTCCTTCTTCATCTGAGTACTGGTTACATGGATGTTTTTAGATTGTGAGAAACCATTGAGTTGCACACTTACGATTTGTATACTTTTCTACGTATATTTTATACTTTGATAAAATTTTTTAAAATTGATATTAAACATCAAGTTGAAGTAATATAATGTGATAAAAAAGTTGGTTACCTTATAAATAACAGACACCCTGTCTTCATAGCTGAATCAATAAATTATGATCTGAGTTACAGCTTCCTCGTTTTAAAAATGGGGGAAATGATATCAGTTCTGTCTATTCATAGCATTGATTTGAAAATCAAGTAAGTTAATGGGCATAAAAAAAGAAACTTTGTAAACTGAAAATGCATACACATGGAAGGAACTGTTGGAACAAAGCAAGAGGGAGCTTTAATTTTAATTTTTAAATGATTTTGCACTGTTAAGAAATAACTCCCTTTGGCAAATGATAGTAATTGTAAGTGTTTTGGATCAAGTTTTAAAAAGCAGGTTTGTCAATTATATAATGGTCTTTAATGTACTCAGATTGTTGCTTTTGTTTCAGAAAACAGAAAATTACATGATAGCTTGTAAATGGCACATTCAATTTCACACACTGAGAATGCTTGAAAAGTGAAAGGTCCACATATAATGCAGGAACTCAAATTTAATGGCATCAAATGATACATAATTTGATTCGTTCAACCACATTTCCAGAAATTAATCACCAAGGGTCAGTATCTTTCTGTCCTTCGTGACTTGGTTTGTCAAAAGAAAACTGCCCTCTGCCATAGCACTGCTAATCAGCAGTAGGTGGTTCTTTGGATTTAGCATTTTAATCCAGTGATCAGCATCTGGAAACATTTTAAAAGGTCAGGCTGCTACTCCCTTACTCAATTTAGTAAAGTTTCACAAAACATAATGAGCTTTCTTTCTGTGCCTCCAGATATGCTTTAGAAACACCTTTAGAAATCAATGGAAACTTTGTTAGAGTAAAAATTGGGAGTAAGGATTAGGAGAGGAAATTGGAACGTACAACCTGTAGCTTCTTCCTCTCCCACTGATGTTTCTCTAGATCTGAGTGTCTGAACAGTGTCACAAGTGAACTTTCAGGATGGCTACTTCTCTGCGGGGTGGGAGGGTAGTGTCCTGCGCATTGTAAGATGTTCAGCAGCATCCCTGATCTCTAACCACCTGATGCCAATAGTACCTTCCCCCCAAGTTGTGACAGTCAAAAATGTCTCCCGCCATTGCCAAATATGTCCGAGGAGGGGAGAGAGGGTTAAAATTTCATCCAGTTGAGAACAACTGCTCTAGATGGTTATCTGCTAACATCTTTGTCTTCAGATCTTCTCTAAGACGTCTACACTTTTGTACAATATCTTCCAAACTTTCTGGAAACAGTCTGGATTGAAGGTGCCCCGCTCAGAGGGTGTGCAAGTAGCCTAGTGGTTTGGCAAAGTCATGTTGTCCTCTGGGCATAGTGGGTCACTCTCTGGTGTGTATATCTTTAGAGCATATCTCCACTGAGAGTATCGAATTTTGAAAGGATCAGAGAGAACAAGAATAGAAAACATGGGAAAAGAGGCAATCGCTGAGGGGAATGAAGATAAGATTCGGGTCTGCCTGGGAGGGGACTTCATGATGCCATTTCGTGTCCCCACGTCCCTGGCGCATACTAGTGCTGCCCTGCTCATATTCCCTTACACTTACTGGTGCGAGACTTCCAATTGCCAGCAACTGAGATTCTTTACCCTTTTTTCTGGCCACAGAACACCTTCAAGCTCGGAGTAAGGGCTGAATGAAAGAGCAGGGAAATTAGTTTCACTGGGAGCAGCCCTCAGTCTCTGATAGACTACATGGGAATTGGCGCATAATGATTCCAGCTGTCTTGTCCCTTGATGAATGGGAGTAGTGGATAATGATCCCAGCTCCCCCGACCCTCAATTGGGATATCCCTGAGGTGTGTGTTCTGTGCGGGCTCCCAGATTTCCCCGCAGGATGGAACTCGGCCGGTAACTTGGCTGCCTCCCCTTCCCTGTTTCACTTCCCCCACTTCACCACCAGTGTTGCCTCAGATCACCTCCAAATAAACTACTTGCACTTGAATCCTGTTTGGAGGTTTGGTTCTGAGGAAAATCAGAGCAAGAGGGTCTGGTGGGATACAGCTTTATGCTGTCACATCAGGTTCTAGAATATTCCCACCCCACAAAGCTAACCTTGGGAGAATTAGAATGCACAGGGCTTCACCCGGTCCAAGTTATTTGATCAGAAAGAAGGCCTTCTCCAGTTTAATGGGGAGTTTCATAGTAATAACCCTCTCTAAGAGGACAAACAGCACAACATAAGTGGGTGGTGTTTTCTTTGTCTATTTTTTGTCATCTACTCATGTAGGCACAAAATGTTCACAGTAATTCAAAGCTCTATGAACTGTAATTTACTCTTATAAGGTTATAATCTAGTAACAAACAATTTACAATGCCTGTTTAAAGGGGAAAAGAAAAAGGTTTCTGTAGGACCTCGAATCTCCACAGACGCCAAATGAGTAGCCCTAGAAAAGGAAATGTACTTGATTTATTTCCTAAAACATAGCTTATTCATATATCCAATTGATAAAATAGAATGCCTTTTACTTTAATGTCTGGGTTTAAAAATCTCTCCATATATAACTCTTCAGTATGTTTTCCTCAAAATTCAACTGGAATGGTTTTACATGATGAATTGAGCCATCTATCGTGAAGGAATGTAGTGAAAAACACAGGTGTGAACTACAAATGTTAAATGGACAGCGGACAAGCAGGAAGTGAGTGTTTATCAATATTGTGTGCATATGAGCACTTATTTACTTAATCTTTTTGAAATCAGGTTTAGGATTTTGACATAATATATAGCATTTCAAACCTTTTTGAAACTCAAGACAATGCATGAAATCTTTTAAACACTTATCTGTTTACTGATTGATTAGTTGATCAAAAACTATATTGAATTTTATTATTTATCCATATAATCAAGTTTAAAAAGAGGTTTTAAAAGTGTAAAAATGAATAACCCACAAAGAAACTTTCTAAAATACAGAAGGATACTAATAAAACTTAAAGAGAGATGTCATTTGAAATATATTAAACACTGTAATAGCTAAGATAGATCAAAAATGATGCAGAGTAAGAACAAGCGGAAATGAACAGAATGAAACATAACAAGACTAATCAAATAAATCACTAGGCATGGCAGGTTGAATGTACCAATGCTGTATCCATGCCCTTTGGTAGTTCCCTCCCATACTGACTCTGGGCTTGCCCATGTAGCTTGCTTTGGCCAATGAAACAGTGCTAACTTGATACAATCAGAGGCTTGAAAATGTGCTTACATATTCTTACACCATCTTTGAAAGCCCACCACTTCTCCGAGAACAAACCTGGGCTAGCCTGCTAGAGAGACCACAAAGAGCAGCGCTGAGCTGTTCTGGTTAAGACCATCCTAGACCAAGCACCCTCCAGACACCCCACTGGCTAAATGTGGATGCTTGAGAGAGCTCAGGCAAGATTAGCCAAGCCTGGCCCAGAAGCAGAACTGTGCAGCAGACCCAAAGACTTGATGGAAATGATAAAGGTTGTTTTAACACCACTAAGTCTTAGAGCGTTTTGTTCCGAGTAATATTAGATATACCCTATATATTAGGTACAGATAATCAATAATCACTGGAGTAGAAAACAAGATGGGAAATATTTGTCATGAATGTGGGTTAGCTCTTACACTTGGGATAGGATATTGAACACAAGAGTTAAACATATCAAATAAATGTAGGCACCGTAGAAAGGTTTCATGACCCCATTGTCAAAGGTGATTTCTCTATTAGGAGATTTGCTAAACGATGTAAAGTAAAAATCCAGAGAACATATACAGAAGTGCCACCATTCAACAGTTCTCAACAAGTACTAAGGTTAAACCATCTCCTGGACTGTTATATTTGAACTCATCGCTAGATTAATCAAAGCTTTGGAATTTTATTAGCAATTATTAAGTGTATTAAGAAATACTACTGATGTACGTATGCCATGTACACTATATATGCTACACCATTAGTATGTTTCAGCATGATTTTTTTCTTTTTTTGAGGAAGATTAGCCCTGAGCTAACATCTGCTGCCAATCCTCCTCTTTTTGCTGAGGAAGACTGGCCCTGAGCTAACATTCATGCCCATCTTCCTCTACTTTATATGTGAGATGCCTACCACAGCATGGCTTGCCAAGCGGTGCCATGTCCACACCCGGGATCTGAACCAGGCAACCCCAGGCTGCCAAAGCAGAATGTGCACACTTAACTGCTGCGCCACTGGGCTGGCCCCTCAGCATGATTTTTAAATGCTACTAGTCTGAAGTAAAGAACAATTGCTGCTGATTTCATAATAAAGTTTTAATAACAGTTTTTTAAAAAGAAAGTAAATGAGACTAGTGATTCTCAAACTTTGCTGCATATTAGAATCCCCTGTAGAGTTTTTAAAAAAATCCTAATGCCCAGGTGACAGCCGAGAGCAAATACACCAGAACCATGGGACTGTGACTCAGGCATCAACATTTTTTCAAGTTTCTAAGGTGATTCCAATGTGCAGCCAAGTTTGAGGACCAGTGATCTAGTCTGAGATCTGTGCCGTCCAATACCATAGCCAGTAGTCACATGTGGCTACTAATTATTTGAAATTTGGCTAAAGTGAGATGAGCTGTAAGTAGAAAATATACATCAGATTTTGAAGATGGAGTATTAAAACAAGTGTAAATATGTAATAGTTTTTATATTTATTACCTGTTGAAGTGATAATATTTGGGATATTTGGGTTAAATAAAATACATTATTAAAGTTAATTTCAACTATTTTGTTTTGTTTTTTTAAATATGACCACTAGAAAATTTAAAATTACATATGTACCTTGCATTTGAGGCTAAAATTTCTTTCTATTAGAGAGCACTGACCTAGACTGTCCCATTAAACTAGAATATAAGGTATGGAAATAACTATTTTAATATTCATGTGACTTTACAAAACTTTGCTTACTGAAGTACAAGTTTACATTCTAGAAAACTGGATCTAATGTTCTGTAGGAGGTTCATTTTTAAATTAAAAAATCCTCTGTAACCCAATATTGAGTTTGTTGCACTGTTTTTGTCATTGCTTATACAAAAAATTTATATACATTTCTTTTTATGATTATACATACTCAATATTTTAAATGTCATACTGATATAAAGTTTATTTAGGATTCAAAACTACAGGTATATGGGGGCCAGCCCCATGGCTGAGTGGTTAAGTTCATGTGCTCCACTGTGGCGGCCCAGGGTTTTACTGGTTCAGATCCTGGGTATGGACATGGCACCACTCCTCAAGCGATGCTGCAGTGGCATTTATTCCATATGCCAAAACTAGAAGGACCCAAAACTGAAAATATACAATTATGTACCAGGGGGCTTTGGGGAGAAAAAGGAAACATAAAATATTAAAAAAAAATACAGGTATAATTATGGGGCCCGCCAGGTGGCATATCGGTTAAGTTTGCGTACTTCAGCAGTCCTGGGTTCGCTGGCTCAGATCGGATCCCAGGTGCGGACTTACGCACCATGTATGGAGCCATGCTGTGGCAAGTGTCCCACATATAAAGTAGAGGAAGACAGGCACGGATAGTAGTTTAGGCCAATCTTCCTCAAAAATAAAGTAAAATAAGATGTGTTAAAAATACAGGTATAATTAAAATGTACAAAAGTTAACTTATTGAAAAGTTGTGTCAATCAATCGCATTTTGTCAGTAGGATAAAATATTAAAAGGAAGAGAGAGGTAGAACCTATAAAGAATAACCAATATTGTGGCTATTAGCCATTTTATTAAATTTTGATTTTTCATGATTAAATATTCTTATAGTGAGAACCACTTATACTGCCATTCTCTTTACTGGGTGGGCAACATTCTGCTTGTGATACTGATCAGGTTGAATTCTTTTGAATAGCATTAATAAAACAAAAATGATGGAAAGGAGAGTAGTGCACATGAATAGTGTAGAGCTAATTGTGTTTTAAGTCTAATTTAAACCATTTAATGCTAACACATTGGTTAAATTTATAAGGCACCATTTCAGGGTTTGTAATTGCTAAAAAAATCCGACTCAGGATGTATTTTAACTTATTTCACATCTCCTATCATCATCATTATTATTCATCAGATGATAATTAACATCTATGGCCAGAGGCCATTCCTTTCAATTTTATTAAAACTCTTCCTTTTCTAGTATAGGGTTTCCTTTAATCCCAGATTAATTTATTTCTCATTCACTGTGGCAAAGCTCCTGAAATGAATATGTTCACTAATTCTCATAATAAAATAATATCCTAATTAAAGTATATAAATATATATTTTAAAAATATATAAATGTAAATTAATAAATTACATAATAATTTGTAATTATTTATATAATTATTGATGAATAAATGACAAGCAATAGGATATATTGGAGTATATGAGGAAGCTATTTGGTTTAGAACTGATTTGGCCTGAACTTGTGTTTCCAGAAAGTTCTGATGTGTGCTGTTGAGCACGCATTCTACATCTGCTTTAAACATTTACAATGTCCCAAAGCTAAGAATGATGCCATTAAAGATAGGGATATGGTTTCCCCCATATCAGCATTTCTTTAAGGACAAGCATCTCTTCCCAGACACTAAGGATTAATTGCTGACTTGCTGTGTTCACCTTGTGACCACTGACCTGCTGACCATGGACATACTGTGCCAGCAAAAGTATCCCTTCACTATTGTAAAAGGGATATTCTTGTCACATGTGATGTATGCTCTTTGTCCCAAGATGGTATATGACCACTCTGTACACCCCACTTCTTTGGAGTATTTCCTTCCTTTGTGAAGGTACTCTCCCAGGTTATATGTCCTTAGGTTTGGCTCATAGTAAACTCACACCAATTTTGCTTTATAGATTGATTATGGATTATTTGCATTGACATTTCCTAAATAAATATAATTATTACTAAAATGCTGTATGTTTTCCCCAAATCACTTGCTTTTGCCAGTCCTGGAGTTGGTTTACTCTCATCCACAGTGGAATATTTCATTCTCAGCCAAAAGGAAAAAAGAGGTCACATCATGACAGCACTTGTTACAGGACAAACATGATGGTCATCTCTGTCCACCTGGCTAATGATTTCCAATTCAGTCATTCCTCGTCCTTTTATGAATCCAAACCCCACCTTTTGTTATTTTCATGTTAGTTTTTATGTATTTTCCTCATAAATCTCCATTATGTTGGGGAAATTTATCTCAGTTTTTTGTTTTCATTTTTTTTAACTCGAAAGTTAAATTCTCCTTTAAATAAAACAATAGGCATGACAATAAAGACAGTGAAAACAAAGAGAAGAGGAGATTACATCTGAATGGGTTGTAAATACCTCTCCTGCCCCACACCTGCTTACTGTATCCTGTAAACTCTGAAGCAAGTGAGTTGGTGGAACAAGAATGTTGCTTTGATACTTTTGATATTTATCAACTTTGCTCAAAATATTTTTAAAAGATGTTGCTCTATCCCATTGGCTTGCACCATACTAAACTGTGCAAAGCTGGGGCCACAACGGAGGCAGGATTGGAGAGTGAGCCCCCAACATGACCTTCTTGAACAAAGCACAATTGGCCCAATCATTTATGTCCCTCCTAAGGCAACTGCCACCTTCTGCCTTAAATTATACTTATGGTTATTAGTTTTTTTCCTAGGATTTGATAAATTCCTAGAGGGCAGGGATGCTGCTTAGTACATAATAAATGGCAATGTTTGTAGATTAAATGGAACATTTTACCCATTTTTGCATGCTCCCAATTGCTACAGGTGTGCCCCAGAAGGAATTCAATGAACACATTGATTGAGTGCTGTATCATGCACCTACTCTGAGACCGGGAATTACTTCAAAAGTAAGCTCTTCTTAGGTTTCTCCTTCCTAGTAGGAAGTAGAGTGACCTGAACAGGCACTTAAATTGCAATAAAATGTTCAGAGGTGAATTCATAGCTCTGCTTTACATCGTTGGTGTTTTAAGAGTACAGCTAGAGTTTCTTTTTACTTAAATGGCATTTATTTGCAAATAATTTAAATATTCATATGTATCACCTTTGTAGCATGTCAGAGCTAGGGAGACTAAAATCTTCTGTTACCTCTTAAATCTGTTTTAAATTTAATATTATTGCTCAGTGAACTGAGAAAATGCTTTCACAGTGCAAGTGTCTACCTTCGCTCTTCTTCTGGTTTTGTCTCTGATATTCACTCACAAGTAACAGCAGTTGTCATTTATTCGGCCCCTCCTACGTGCTGGGTGCTTTACTCACTTGTATTTAATTTTTTATAACCTCACAAGTTAAAGATTATAATCTCTGTTTTTCAGATTCAGATGATAATTAATTTACGTAATCTTCATAACCTTGCAAGGTATATTAGTCAGGGTTCTCCAGTGAAGCAGAACTAACATCTATCTATCTGTCTATCTATCGAGAGAGACACTCACGCGCTTGTGGAGGCTGGCAAGTCCAAAATCTGAAGGGTGGGCCTGCAAGGTGGAGACCCAGGGAAGAGCTGCAGTTCAAGTGCAAAGGCAGTCTGCTGGCAGAATTGATTGGATGAGGCCCGTCCCCATTACGGAGGGCCACCTGCTTCACTCAAAGTCTGCTGATTTAAGTGTTAGTCTCATCTGAAAAAAATATCTTCAGAGAAACATCTAGAACATGTTTGACCGAATACCTGAGTACTGTGGCCTGGCCAAACTGATACACAAAATTAACCATCCCACAGTAGATGAGCACAGTAAAGCTCAGAGATATTAAGTAACTTGCACAATTTCAGAGTTTGTTATGGAGATTCTGGACTTTATAAAAGAGATTTTTGTTTTCCAAAGCCCACGTGTCTTTCACTATATACTTGTTGTTCGTGTCGTTGAGTCCATTCAGACTCCTAGCAACCCTGTGTACAGCAGAGCAGAACCCTGTTTGGTCTTCTGTGCCATCCTCTCACATTCCAGCACTCTATCAGACAGTGCTCTGATGCTATTCATAGGGTTTTCATGGCCATTTCTTTTGGGAAGTGGGTGGCCAGGTCCTTCTTCCTAGTCTGTCTTAGTCTGAAATCTCTGCTGAAACCTGTCCACCAGGGGTGACCCTGCTAGTATTTGAAATACAGTGGCATAGCGTTCAGCATCACAGCAACACCCAGCTGCCACAGTATGATAATTGACAGATGGCTGGTGTGGTTCCCTGATGGGGAAACTGAACGTGGACTGTGGCAGTGAGGGCCTCAAATCTCAACCACCATCTCTCAAATTAACAGTTTTTCAGTTGAGTAGAAGTAAGTTCTTCCTGGGCCAAAGTCATGTTACAAGAAGCATTTAGTGACTGTAGCTGTATATTTTAGAAGTCTAATTTGTCCACTAATAAATATTTACCAAGGATGATAATTTAATCTAACGAAGTAGGTGTCCGTTGTTATCAACAGCTCTGTACACCCAAAGCAGCAGTGACAAAAGCTAGGGAATGCTCCTGTCCTTCACAATCTCTGAAAACTTTTCCATGCTTTCCCTTTCTGGTGCCAACACTTGAATTTAGGACTCTACTACTTCTTACTAGAATATATACTACATCATTTCACGTCTCTAGTCTTCATATTCCTAAATTCTGTATTTAATCAGATCACCATGGACCCCTCTCCTCCCATCTTTAGTATTTCTCAATTACCCATTGCAAAAAGCTTAAATTTTGAGGGTAAGCATTAAAAATCATTTCCAGACAAGCTTTGACTACCCTTCCACCCATGGTTTTTGCCTGTCACTATGAAGAATACACTCAGGTTAAACTTGTCCCCAACAGGGTTCATTAGCTGACATATTATTTTATTTTTTTTGCCACCTATGCCTTTGAATTCACCTTTCTGGCCAGGTGAACTTATCTTCTGACTCCAGCTCTTACTCCACCAGGCTTCTCAAAGAAGTTTTCCTCATCACCACAGCCAGCAGCAACTCTCCTTCTCCAATTTGCTGAAGAATGTAGTTAAGATCTGCAGTTTTAGGTACTGGGTGATCTTTATTTACGCACTCTCCTCATCTGTTCAAAGACTGGGCTCGAATCTGTGCCAGGGAAGATTCCCAAAGCCGAAAGCAATGGGTTCCGAAGGATGTCCTGCATCCTGCACACCGGCTCTACCAAAGTAGGTGCTCAATAAATGTTTAACATATTAAATGATGAATGAACCAGAGAAGAAAACTGCAGTTTCTGGGACAAGGGACTCCTGGCACTTTTCCACTTTCCTCCCTTTCACTGGTCCTGGGTTACCGCCGCTCCGCAACCGGACCCTAGGAAGGGACACACAGTGCGCATGCCCCGTATCCAAGGCCGCCTCCGGGCGAGCCGCTCGCTCGGCCCCGCCCCCTCCCGGCGCTAGGGCACGCGCGCGCGGCCCCGCGGAGCGTGCCCTGCGTGCGGGTGCTCGCCGAGCCCGCCGGGCGCTGGATCCGGAGTGCCCGGGCCGGGGCCTGAGGAGCGGGCACCGGGGCCGGGGCGGCGAGCGGCGAGCCGTGCAGAAGGCGGCAGCTCCCAAAGCGACGAGGAGCGCGGGCGGTGAGTGAGGGCGCCGCGGGTGAGGGAGCGGGCGCCTCCGCGCGTGCGCAGCGCCCGACTGCCCGGCTAGGGGCGCGCTCCCGGCCGCGGGCCGGAGGGGCAGAGCGCGGCGCGGCTGGGACCGGGACCCCGGGGCCGGCATGGGACCCCGGGATGCAGGGGCGCCGGGCTACCACCCCCGGCCTCGAGAGGCTGTGGCCGCGCGGGCGAGCCTCGTTAGGGGTTCCAGGCGGGACGGTGCGGGGGGGGGTCCCATTGCCCCAGGCCAAGGGGCAGGGCCAGCTGCAGCCCAGGGATCCGGTGGGGGACGTGCTGCGGGGCGGGGGTGGGGGGGTGGGGGGCGGTGCGAGCCTCCCGCTCCCCCTCTGATCCAGCCGGCCGCACGGGCGCCCGCGGAGTTGCGCGACCCCCGGAGGGGACGGAGGTCAGGGGAGGGGGCGCGGCCGGGAGCCCTGGCGCCGAGCAGGTGGCGGGGCCGCGCTCCTCGCTCTGGGGGCGCACGGTTGGAAACCGGAGCAAACTTCCCCCAAGTAACTTTATTGAGGCGCTGCCAGCCGGATCCGGGGGGCGGGACCCGGACTGAGGGCTTCAGGGGCCGACACCCTGGCCTGGCCCAGCCCTGGGCGCAGCAGGGCCCCGGAGAATGACGGGGGGCTGCGGGGGTTCAGTTTCCTTCTGATCCTGGAGCTCGTCTTCCAAGTTCCGAGCGGCATTCACGGCCCATTCACTCTTAAAATAGATGTGTAAGTTTGATGTTTCAGTGAGAAGGATGTTTGGTCTCTTGGGAAGAAAAAGCTTATACTGCCCGGCCTTTTTATGTCAAAGAAAGTATTGTTAGGGCGTGCTGGGGATTCCTATTTATCAAGAAACCTATTGTCCTGTGTGTGCTTGGAGAAACCCAACTAATTCTATTATTAGCCTTAAAAAGACAAAGATAATTGTGCTTTCTTTTTCTTTTTCTTTTTTAATACTCTCCGCCACCTCGTCAAATCATGGAATACAGTAGTTCCCCAAATTCTCTGCACAAGAGAATGACTGGGGGATTTTAAAACTCTTAGGTTCAAATCGCACCCCTGACCAGTTAGAACAATGTGTGTTTTAAAGACCCCCCTAGGTGATTCCAATGTGCAGCAGAGTTTGGGAACCACTGGTTTAGTAGAAGAAACTCACGATTTGTTTTACGAAGTAGCATGCGGTTTGTAGCTTCGTTTTCCTTAGACGGGAACTCACAAAGTCTGGTCTGTCCCCCCCCCCCCCCCCCCCGGGAGGGAGGGAGGGAGGGAAACGTCTCTAATGGCTCAAACTTTAGCTGAGCTATAGAATGACTCTGGCGTGTAGAACATTGTTCTAACTGGTCTTTTGAATTTCTCTTGGGCTTTGGAAGCCCATCTTCTCTCACCCCTGCCACGTTTTCATCTTTTAACCCTCTTTCAAACCCCCTCCCTTTACTCTCCCCGCGTCCGCTTTTTAACCATCCGCCAGCCTCTGGGAGGATCCGCCTCCCCCAGACCGTAGGGGCTCTGAAGGGTTCCTGCGGGTTCCCATAGCAGCGGGTCGTCCAGGGGAAGTGGGCGGGTCCTCTTACCTTCGGCTTTCTGAGTAGGACTCTTCCTTTCCTGCAGATGTTGAATTACCCTTTTCAGTTTTTGGCCTCCGAGCAGGTAAGGGTGAGCTCATCCGGTTCTAGTTTGTCTAAGTAATTACAGAGTTAGTTATTAATACCGTTGTATGGGGTCATACTTCTAGCAGCCGTGTCGTTCTCCCCTGAATATTCATTCTTTCCCAGTCTTTGCACTGAGAACTTGTTTTAACAAAGTTCCAAAATGAGTTGGAAACTATTTTTTTTTTTTTAAGAATTTTCCTTTGGGGCGCACAAACCTAAAGATTGTATGCATAATTTCTCTAAAGTCCTCTGACTTATTTAAGAAATTTAAAAAGTGAGATAAAATCCTATATCCATGCCAAAAACCTTTGATAATTTGTGGCAAAAAATGTTTTATCAGCTTTTAAGTTGTTCGGTTCCTAGAAAGTGCTTTGCCATGATTCTTTACAAAAAGTAAAAACCACTTGTAATGTTATACTTAAACATAACAAAGAAAAGGCACAGTTTGTCCAGATTCGCCCACTCCTTTCCTTCCCCAACACACACATCCAAATAAAGATAATTTTTAAAAATTCAATCTTTTATGCTCATAGTAGATATTCTGTAGCCATCTAATTCCAAGTTGCCTTGCAAGGAACTCTTAAAACAAAATAGTGTGGAAGTATGTCATTTTTGTATCTCAGGCTTTTTGTTGTTTGAAACCTTTCAAACTTTACTGTGTGAATAAATCAGAATTCAGTCAGTCGGTTCCAAAATGCTTTTAGTAGTCCACTGACGGAGGATGTATTGGGAGTTGAAGAGATTTTTCTCTTGCTACTATCTCGTTTTATGTGCTGAATTTCAGCTGACTGGACCATCAGGCAAATTCTGTAAGGCTGATGTCCATTTCACTCTGAGAAAAGAGTAATGATGGGAAACCCTCTCATTTGATGGACTTTGTCTTTCCGTTTTCGTTGCGTATTTAAAAATTGAGGCCTTCCAGGGGCCAGCCTGGTGGTGCAGCCATTAGGTTCGCACGTTCCACTTCAGCGGTCCAGGGTTCGTGGGTTCGGATCCCGGATACGGACATGACACCTCTTGGCAAGCCATGCTGTGGCAGGCGTCCCACATAGAAAGCAGAGGAAGATGAGCACGGATGTTAGCTCAGGGCCAGTCTTCCTCAAAAAACCAAAACAACAACAACAACAAAAAATCGAGGCCTTCTAAGCAACTACAGTTGAGAATTTCTGTTGTTTTTAAACATTCTGTTAAAAAAGCAGTTATCCCTGTTGTAGGCATTTTGGGAATTACAAAAAATAAAATTAAGAAAATAAAAATCACATTATCCAGAAATACACAACTCTTCCTGGGATGATGTGCTTCCATTTGTCACTTTTTGTTCATCTGCATAGACATGTTTAAACAAAATTGGCATTTTAATGTCATCTGTAGTTTTAAATACTGTCCTTTCACTTAATAATCATGGACATTTCCTATGCCCTTAAATCTTCTTTGAAAATAAGCCTTTTTCTTTTGAGTAAGCTTAGCCCTGAGCTAACATCTGTCGCTAATCTTCCTCTTTTTGCTGAGGAAGACTGGCCCTGAGCTCGCATCTGTGCCCATCTTCCTCTACTTTATACGTGGGATGCTGGTCACAGCATGGCTTGGTAAGTGGTGTGTAGGTCTGTGCCCCGGATCTGAAGCCCCGAACACCAGGGAGCCAAAGTGGAATGTGCGAACTTAACTGCTGCACCACAGGGCTGGCCCCTTGAAAATAAG